CCCAGCATAGCACAGCATAGCGCAGCATAGCATAGCATAGCGCAGCATAGCATAGCATAGCATTGCATAGCATAGCGCAGCTTAGCATAGCATGGCATAGCAGAGTATAGCTTAGCATAGCTTAGCATAGCACAGCGCATCATGGCATAGCATAGCTTAGCATAGCATAGCATATCATAGCATAGCATAGCGCATCATAGCATAGCATAGCAGCAGAGCATAGCATAGCATAGCATAGCATAGCATAGCGCAGCATAGCATGGCATAGCATAGCATAGCATAGCATAGCAACTAATGCTGCTTTCCTAGGGGCTCCGACTTCTAGGTAGGATCGCACTGGGGTAATTCTTAGACAGAGAGAGGGAGAGGGCGGCGAGGTGCGGAGGGTGCAGCAGGCTGGCCACCGAGCGCAGGCGAGATGGGGAAGCGTCGCGCAAGTCTCCTCTTAGCCCATACTGGCGCAGAGCTCGGCGAGGCACTCCTCTAGCTCACCCCCACGACGGGCTCTACGAGGTGCTCCTCTCGGGCTCAGGCTCCTGGCTGAGCTCTACCAGGCACTGGCGCGCGGGCGCCCAGCGCCCCCGCGCGCAGGCGCAGCGCAGAAAGCGCGCTCCCCCGCGCCCCCCACCCCACCCGGGAGTTCCTCGGCGTCAGCCTGGGCTTCCCGCCTGGGCTGGGCTCGTGTGGCATGCTGTGAGGTTGCCGTGCGTCGGCAGAGCTGACCTGTCCCGCTGGCCCGTCGGATCCGCCATTGCCCGTTGCGGAGTACAGCGGCTCGGCGACGGAGGCAAGCACACTCAGCAGCAGGGTGCGTGCTTCCGACCCGCCCCTCCCCGCCACGCCCTCCGCCCGCGCACCCCTTCCACATCGCTCCTCCCTCCCGCTGTTGTGCGCGGTCACGGCACCCGCCCCCGCCTTGGGGCGGATCTCTCAACCAGGGCGCCGGACGCTGTGGGAGAGTGCCCGCTGCGCTCAAGACCTGAGTCCACGCTCCCATTTTTTCTGTCGAGCGCAGACACCGCCAGCCCCTCGAGCCGCGGCCCCGATCCCCCACAGACGGGGCGGGGCTTTCTGCAGCTGGGATATAAAGGCCTTCGAGTTCTGCCAGAAGGGGGGGGGCTGGACGTACACCCGGAAGCTGGAAACACACGTGGCTGCGACATGGCTAGGCCATAATGTGTGGAACATGCGGAGGCCGCGCTCTGGATGCACGTGCGGAGGGCTGGTGTACCCTGCCGTAGAAGGGCCGAGGGCTGGAAGGAAGTCAAGCCACATGTGTATCCAGCTCTCTCCCTAGCCAGCCGCGGCGTGTGTATCTGGCTTCCTGGTAAACCTCGGGATGTAAACCTCCATCCTGCCTCCTTCTTACAATGCCCCTCTACCTCCCTCCTTCCCTCTCTCCTTCCCTCCCTCCCTTCTCCCACACTCCCTCCCTTCTCCAGTCTCTGTCCCTCGCCCCCATCTCCTGCATGAGCTCTGGCCGTCTGTGTGCATCTGGGTGCAGCTCTTGCCAGAGCGCCGACGGGACGGGTCGTCCGGCTCGCACACGGGCTGCGGGGCAAAATTGGGTCCTTCCTCGTCCTTTTCCTCCTTCTCCTCCTCCTCCTCCTCCTCCTCCTCCTCCTCCTCCTCTTCCGCCTCCTCCTCGTCGTCGTCGGCGTCATCATCATCATCATCATCATCATCATCATCATCATCATCATCATCATCAGCATCATCAGCATGAGCATCAGCATCAGCATCAGCATCATCATCACCAGCACCATCATCATCAGCATCGTCATCATCATCGTCATCGGCATCGTCGTCATCGTCATCGCCATCATCATCATCATCATCAGCATCAGCATCAGCATCAGCATCAGCAACACCACCATCATCATCATCATCATCATCATCATCATCATCATCATCATCGCCATTATCATCATCATCGTCGTCGCCATCAGCGACGTCAACAGCAACCATAGCAACATCATTGTCGCCCTCACCATCACCCTTCACCATAACCATAAGCATCACGCTCATCACTGACACCATCGGCAACAACTATATCATCATCACCATCATCATCAGTAGCATCATCATTAGCACCATCATCATCGTCATCAGCGTCATCAGCATCATCATTAGCAGCATCATCGTCATCATCAGCAAATTCAGCAGCAGCATCATCACCATCAGTATGATCATCAGCACCATCATCATCAGCATCATTATCATTATCGTCACCCTTGCCATCACCATCACCAACACCATCACTCTCACCACCACAATCACCATCGTCATCATCGCCAGCAGCAGCAACATCATCAGCGTCCTCATTATCCGCACCATTTCCATCATCTGCAACACCCTCATCATCATCAGCAACAACAACGACATCATCATCATCAGCAGCCGCAGCCGCATTAACATCATCATCATCATCATCAGCATCGTCATTACCAGTATCGGTATCATCATAGTCATCATCATCACCGTAAGCGTCGTCACCATTACTAGCGCAATCATCAGGGTGATATCTCTCGTCCTCAGCATGCGAATCGCCATCATGATCACACTAAGCATTAGCATACTCATGCCCGACGATGTTATCTTCCGAGGCCAGGTCGGATTCTCTTAGACAGCAAGAGGCAGCACAGTGAACGACACTGGGGCCGGCAAGAGAGATAATTCACCAACCGAATTTGTGCTCTGGCGTACGGCCCCACGGCCACGGCGACGCCTTACAGCAGCAACAGGGCGGGAGGGTGGGAGCTCGAGAGCCGAAGGCTATAGAAAGGACACAACGCATTCTGCATTCGGCCTCTCCCTTCCCCTCTAAAGGCATTCATCTTCAAAAGAAAAATCCATGCCCGACGATGATATTTCCGAGGCCAGGTCGGATTCTCTTAGACAGCAAGAGGCAGCACCGTGAACGACACCGGGGCCGGCAAGAGAGATAATTCACCAACCGAATGTGTGCTTTGGTGCACGGCCCCACGGCAAAAACATCCCGAACTATCCGGAGGGCTACTCCTCTGTGTTAGCGGCCTAGCCAGATCGGTGTGACTGACAGAGCCTCGGAGCGCAGTCTGGCGCCGATGAGCGCGCGAGCCCATCGTCTCGCAAGCGCCTTGGGCTAGGCCTGCGCAACTAAAGTCCACAGAGGCCTTCCTGGAGCTTTTCCTCTTAGAATGTGAAGGGGCTGACCAGTCCTTCTACAACACGTACGAAAACCCGCGCACAAACGAGCGAAAGCTGAAACATCCACACGATAACCTAGGAGAACAGTCGGCTTTTTCCACGCGGTCCCGCCGTGGCAAAAATGCGTGACAGCCCTGGAATAATGTGGATGCTTTCAACGGCACCGCAGAGACGGAATGAGCCACAGCCTAGACATCGCGGGATTCTCGACAGTAAACGGGATCTGCATACGCTTACAACTGGCCCACACACTTTCACAGAACCGCACTAACTTATTGGCGGTCATAACCTGAGCTCGGTCCGCCAGGTGCGCCACGGCTGCGAGCCCCCAGAGCTCCGAGCCGGAGCGAAGGCGGCTTGGCCAGAACGGGGGCCCGCCTGGCACGCGCAGCGGCCCGGCGCCCCGGACTCTGGACCACGTCTCGCAGGGCACACCGAAGTGCAGGCCCCAGATCAGGCCGGCGTCCAGCCAGCCCCGCAACACCCGGGACACCTTCGGGTTGGCGAGGGCGCCCTCGCTCCGCGGGGCTGCCGCCAGCACGCCCTCACCCGGAGAGGACCCCCACGAAGATCGGAGGCGCCGGGAAACGCCGGCGGCGGGGGCCCAGCAGCCTCCTCAGCGCCAGCCGAGGAGAGAGGCCAGCCGTGCCGGGGCCAGCGGGGCCGCGCGCTGCACCACGGGCGCCAGACTCTGCAGCTGCTCGCTGACGCGGCCTGGCTTGGGGAGGCGCGCGACCGACGCGTCGGTCCGCCAACGGCCGCGGAGCTTGACGCTGGCCACGGTCCGCAGCTGCAGGGCCAACTCCACCGACGGGCCCGAGTGCCGCAGCTGGCACAGCCGCGGGGTGAGCGACGCCAGCTTCACGCCCTCCGCCGCCTCCTTGAACAGGGAGCTGACGCGCACGGGGGCGAACGGGAAAATCGGCTCGCTCGGGCGGGTCGCCTCCTCGAGCCAGCTCAGAGCGCTGGGCAGGAAGCTGTAGAACGGCAAATGGAATGAGCTCACCTCGTCGTAGACCTGCGTCTTCGGCACCCCCCGGCCCCCGCGCCCGAACTGCGGCATCATGAACTTCAGCGCCGCCAGCATGTAGGCCATGCGATCGGGGTTCCAACCTTCGGCGCACTGCTAGCCCATCCAGTGCTCCAGCAGGTCGCCCGCCGTCTCGGCGCGGAGGACCACGGTCACGGACGTCATCCAGGCCACGAAATCGGCCCAGAGGCGCGCGTACTTGGCCCTCGGGACCGCCGAGATCGAGAGGGCCCTCAGGACATGGCCCGCCGGGAGGCGAAAGGGGGCTGCCTCGGGCGCCCGCGCCACGACCCCCCCCGCACGCTTGGCGCCCGCCTCCGCCGGCCTCCACAGGCGGCTGCATCTCGCCTGGCGCTGGCCTCGCTGCGAGGCCGCCGCCTGGCGGGAGCCCCCCGCCGCTGCCTGGCGCGGGGCCATCGCCACGAGAGGCGCCGGCACCAGCACCTTCCTTGTCCGGCCTCCCGCGCGGCGGCCAGACTGGCGACAGCATCCCAGCGCAGCCGCGCGCCGATCCTCAGCGCCCGGCGGGAGGGCAGATCCGCCGGGTTCGCCTCCGACGGGATCCACCGCAGCGCCGCGGTGACGCCCCCTGTCACCACGTGGGCGGCCCACTGGCGGCAAATGCGCGCCATCCTCGGCCGCGAGGAGCGGCCCTTGGTCAGAGCCAGGACGGCGACGAGACTGTCTGAAGAGAGGACGCGATGGCCGCGCTGCCCGGCGTCCCGGAGGACGTGCTTCAAGGCGCGGATTAGGGCCCCCCCTCCAAGGCTGCGACGTGCTCCTCCCTCTCCCAGGCCCCGCTCGAGATGACGACCCAGCCCCCAGAGATGCGATGAACTTCCAGAGGCTCGAAGTCGGTCTCCTGGGGCCCCACGCGGGGGCTGCCTTTGTCCATGGGGGCGATGGGCTCCTGGATGTCCGACGGCGCGCTGCTGACGTGACCTCTCGAGGGCGGCTCGGAGTAGACGCGGGCCTCCAGGGGCTCGAGGGGCTCGATGAGCTGCTCCCGCGGCGCCCTTGCACTGGGGTCTCGGAAGCGCCAGCGCTCCTGGATCCTACCCATCCTCTCCACCACGTCTCCGCTCATTTCACGCTCGCACACCCCTCGGCCCCACTCGGAGGCATCCGCGCACAGAACTCGGCCCAACCAGCGGGCCCGGAGGTCGGCGCGCGCCAGCGGGGCAACTCCCTTGGCCCACACCAGCTCTCGGCGCACGCTGGGCCACCAGGGCCTGGGCGCCTCGCCGGCCTTTGCGACGAAGCGGTACACGGCCGAGGAAACAGCCAGCAGCGGGCGCCTCACCAGGAAGAGGAAGGCGTAGTGCCCCACGACCTGGCGCACCTGCTGAGCCGAGACCTTCGGCATGGCGAGGAGCGCACGCGTGGCCAGGATGATCCCCCAGGCTCTCCGAGGCGAAGGCGCGACTGCTCCCAGCGCGCCATCGATCACCCAGCCCAGCACCTGCGCATGGAGCGAGGCAGGCTCCTCCTCACGCACCGGGAGGCCCTCGCTGCGCAGCTCTGTGACCATGTCACCCTTCAGGCGGTCGGCGGCGCCCCCGTCGAGGGCGAGGGGCGCGAAGTTGTCGACGTACACGAGGTGCGCGCCGGCGCCCAGACTAGGGCCGGCACGCCGGCCCGCGATCCTGGACAGCACTGACAGCCCTGCGCGGTCGGCGGCCGCCTCCGACACCCGCTGGCAGATGGCCAGCGCGCGGGACCAGCCCATGGGCAGCACCGCGAGCCGCGGCCAGAGCCGCTGCGGGTGAGGCTGCCCGGGGACGGCCTCACGCCCAAGCCTCCAGGAGCCCAGCGGAGGGAGCGCGAAGTACGGCCTCCAGGCGTCCGGCAACTCCACGTTGTAGAAAGCGTCCGCGATGTCAGCCGAGGCTGTCCACAAGTTGGCGCCGTCCGGCAACTCGATCGCTGCCAGCGCAGCGCCGGTGGCCTGGTGGACGCCCTCGGGGTCGCCGAACCAGAAGTTGGCTGGGCGGGCGTCGACGACCAGCCGCTGCTTCCCGCTCTTCTTGGCCACGCCGAAAAGGCCACCTCGTCGACCACCAGGGCGGCGTCGCTGACGAGGTCGACCACCCCGGCCTCGTGGAGACGCCTCACCAGCGCTGCATAGCGGCGAGGGTCTCGAAGGCTGGGGTCCGAGTAGGGCTTCTTGAAGCCAACGCGCTGCTTCTGCTGCAAAACTTCGGTCTTCGGGACAGAGCAGCCTGGAGCTCCTGCAGGGCTGCCAAAAGCTGTAGGTCGCCTGGCGGGCGACCCAGCTGGGCGACGGAGTCCGCGATCCGCGCCAGGCATTGCTGCTGCGCGAGCGTCGCGCCAGCCCGCGGCAGTGAGCCACCCTGCGCCCCAGCGCCGCTGAGGCCGTTGAGCGGCTCGACCGCCTGCCGCGCGAGCCAAGGCGCGGACGCTGCGCGCCGAGCGCGCCGCCGCACGGCTCGAGAACAGGCGCCAGAAGCCAGCCAGCCAGGGTCGGCGGCGCCGGGCACTGGCAGCGGAAAAAGGTCTCGCTGCCGCTCTGCACCCGAGCCGTCGAATGTGCTATGTACACCCTCAGCGCCACAGGTTGTCGCCGAGATGGGCCCCGATGCCGCAGCGCCCGGGGGAGCTGGGCCACTGGGCCCCCCCGGGCATGAGAGAGTCATGCCATGGCTCTGCTGGCTTTCGGCCCAGCGGCGGCCTTCGCCTCCTCCCGCAGCTTGCGGGCGTTCTTCTTGATCTGACTGATGCGCTCGAGCTCCTTCCCGACGACGCCCAACAGGGCGGGGCGCACCATGCTGCTCGGGCGGCTCGACAGACCCGTGCCGCCCATGAAGGCAGAGACCTCTTCCACCGGCAGCTTCAGTTGTCCAGCATCCTGCTCTCGCTGCTTCTCGTCCCAGAAGTGCACTGCATCTTCCTCAGCATCCGCTCCACGCCGAGGAGGTTCGTCACATTGACCTCGTCATGCGCGGCGAGGTCCCCCAGCACGGTGGAGAGCGTGTGGTGCTCTGAGACGCCCCAGTCCGAGGAGCTGAGCCGCTTGCGGGATTTCCAGCTCTCGTGGTGCTGGATGGGCCCGCCCTCCCTCAGCAACCACGCCACGCACCACCCCGCGGACCTCGGCTGCAGGATGAAACTGGGGTCTGCCACCTCCACCGCCGCCTCGGTCACCGCGAGCCAGCTCCGCGCCAGGCGCGTGCCCGGCGCGCGCGCCAAGATCCTCGCGTCGGCCCCCCGCCACTTGTCGATGAAGTCGCCTCGCCGCCAGTCCTCAAGGAGGAAAGCCATGGCGGAGGCTCCCCCGACGAGGGTGACGGTCGCCCTTCGGCCCGCCCGCGCGGCCAGGAGCGCGCCGCCGATCGGGCCGACCTGCACCACGGAGCCGCAGGCGAGGCCGCCCGCGTCCTCGGCAAGCACCCACGACCAGCCCGCTGGCGCCTCGCCGTTCTCCCCTAGGGGGGCGCCGCCGTCGTCCTTCCAGGAGGGTCCAGGAGGAGCGCCGACGGCGGGGGGGGCGCCCGGCGCGATGGGCACGCCAGCCGCGGGCCCTGGCGCCACCACGGGGAGCGGCCCGTTGGGCGCGGGCGGCCCGGCAGCAGCCGCCACGGCGGCGCCGACCCCGGCCGCGGGCGGGGCGGCGGCAGCCCCCACGGGAGGCGGCACAGGTCCCACGACGGCGGCCGCCACGGCCGCGGGCGCCACGAACCCCAGCAGCAGGCCCCCCGCCATAGGCGCCAGGGTGCCCCCAGGCGGCGCGGGCACCCCAGGATGGCGGCGGCCGAACTCCGCGTCGGCCTCCGCGACGGCGGCCGCCAGCCAGGCCGCCTCGCGCGCCGCCGAGGGGGCCTGGCGGAACCTGTACGTCCAGCCCGGGTCGATCCCCGGCGGCGGCGGCCACCTCGTGGCCGAGAACCTCACCGCCGAGACGTCGGGCCCCGCCGCCAGCAAGGTCTCGGCGTAGACCATGTCCTCCGGGGTCACGATGACGACGTCACTCGTGAGTGCCAGCTGGCCCGCCACCCTCCTCTGGTGGAACAGCGGCACGCCGACCACGTTGTACAGGACCCACGCCCACGCTTCCGCCATGAGGCCCCCCGGCGAGGGCGGCGAGCGGCGGTGGCGACCCGGTCGCGCTGGCGACCGTCGAAGGCCGGCCGCGGCCCTCCGCCGCACCCCAGCGCGGCGCCCAGAGCCGGAGCGCCGTGAACGTGCCGAGGGCCCCGAGCGACGCGCCAGCCAGCGCGGCCGTCCCACAGGCGAGGGCGACGGTGCCCGTGGTCGCGCCCACCGTGGCTCCAGGGCAGGGCGGACAGGATGGGCAGCTGCACCCCGGACACGCTGGGCACGGCGGGAGCTCCACCGCCGGGCAGCGCGCGACCCAGGCCTGGAGCGCAGGGACGCCCCAGCGGTCGATGAGCCCTGCCCAACCCGCGGGAAGCCCCAGGAAGGCCCCGGCCATGCGCCGCGGCCACGCCGCGGCCCACCAGCTCGAGAGCCGAAGGCTATAGAAAGGACACAACGCATTCTGCATTCGGCCTCTCCCTTCCCCTCTAAAGGCATTCATCTTAAAAAGAAAAGTCCATCATCGCCATCATCGCCATCGTCATCATGATCATCAGCATCATCAGCACAATCAGCATCATCAGCAGCATCATCATCAGCATCATCCTCATCATCATCATCGTCATCATTATCGCCAACGTCATCGTCATGATCATCACCAGCATCAGCATCACCATCAGCATCCTCATCATCATCATTCTCGTAACCATCATCGGTTTCACCATCAACCTCATCAACATCGTGGTCCGCGAGCGTGTGTTAGGCCACGATCGGTCAGATCCTGTTGTTTGCTTGTGTGTTCGGCATTAGCTTCAAATGTGTGATCGTATTGGTTTCTGTTGGAGGCGGGACCGTCCTGGCTCTGCACACTCAATGGATGAGGACTTCCAGCGCGGGCGAACGGCCTATGGTGTAGGCCTTGGACTTCATTGTTGCTGTCCTTTGGGGGAGGGAAGAGCTTTTTTGTTGCGCTTGCCGCTTTGGTGTTTGTACGTGTTTGGGTGTCTGCTGCGAGTTTTGAGTGTTGTTGGGTCTCGAGTTTGGGAGTTTATTGTTTCGACTCCTTCTGGCCACTGATTCGAAACTTCCAGCGTCCCCCCGCCTATGCACCAACGACGAGGGGGGGGTGCTGGACTAGGAGGACGAGGAAGAGGACCCCGAAAAAGACGAAGATGAGGAGGAGGACCAGTGAAAACACAGCACTCATCAACGAGATTGCAGCAAAAAACCCTCCCTCCAGGTCCCCTCTTCATAAGCCCTTAGAAGGATTGATTTCACTGAAGGACATGCCCCGTTAGAAAACAAACGCTTGAGAACCGTGACCTGCGCCAGAACATCATTCCTGAGACTTCTACGCCGCGAATCACTGTTACTGTTGCGTCTTGACGATCCTGAACCGCGCCAGAACACCATTCCTGGGACTTCAACACCACAGATCAACGTAACCCCTGCGCCTTGACAAACCGACAACGTGCCAGAACATAATTTCTCAATTTCTGGAGCGCTAGCCATGAGAATCCTTAAACCAGCTGTGAACTCTTACAACGAATGTGCGCGTCGCGAGGGCGAGAACCGCATTTGGAAGAGGAGCCACTCTCCATCCGTGAAACTCTGCAGGCTTGTATGTAAGACGACTAAACTCGGCGCTGAGGCGAGGAGGACGACGAGGAGAATGATGAGGAGGAATAGGAGGAGGAGGAGGAGGAGGAGGAGGAGGAGGAAGGCGAGGAGGAGGGGGAGGAGGAGGAGGAGGACGAGGAGGAGGAGGAAGAGGAGGAAGAAGAGGTGGAGGCGAGAGCCACATCTTGAAAACGACCCGCCCTCCACCCGTGCAACTCCCGCGTATGTTCAACACGAACGTGCGCGGCGCTGCGGCGAGAGCCACACTTTGAGAACGGCCCGCCCTTCGTCCCTGAAGCTCTTGCGCCCGTTTCAACGACTTTGAGCGGCGCTGCGGCGGGAGCCGCATGTTGAAAACGGCCGGCCCTCCATCCGAGAATCTCTTGCAAATGAACAGCACCAGGATCAAAAATGGTGAGGAAGTCTCAGGCGAAACGCCCGGGCATCCCTTTCGACCCGCCTCGGGGTGCGACGGGGAGGAATCATTCATAGGGAAAAGGAACGGAGGACGAGAAAGAGAAGGAGGGCGAGCAGGACGTCGACGGGAGTAGGGGCGCGCTCCTTATCCGAGCCCACAGCGAATCAAATCACCTCATCACCGTTCTCCTCCGATTGCCTCCCTCACTCTCTGTGCGTCTATGTGCGTAGGGGGCTTCGACGTGGCAGTTTCGGATTTTCGCGGTGCGCGGTTCTGACGGCGACGCCCCAGCTGCCTGGTAAGGCCTGACGCAGAGGTTTCTCACAGGTTACACAGTCGTTGGGGTCTGAGTGTTGGCATCATGTCTTATCTGAGCGACGCCGGCCTACAGCTGGCCAACGTCCAGCATCAGAGGCCCCAGCCTCCACGCAGCGGCCGAGAAACATCTGCCTCCCTTTGGTTCTCTCCACCTCTGCCCTTGTTCCCCTCTCCTTGCCCCAGCCCCCTTCATCTTCGACGGGCGCCTTGGGCGCAAAGGCTAGGAAATCCAGGGGGGGCACAGGGATCGGTCAGGTAAAGGTCGGCCGCGCTCAAGTTCCACCCTGGGTCCTTCCACCCCAGGGTCTCCTTCCTGTCCGCTCCTCCTATACTCTCTTAATTTCTCTTCCACCCAAACCGACAGCCACTCCATCTCGATATTCTTTTCCTTATCCCTGCTCTCGTTGTCCTCTTCTTCCGCTTCACCTCTTCCGCATCCGCATCTTTCCGGGAGCGTCCAAGAGAGGGGGGCGCCTCCAAGAGGGGGGTTCGCAAATCATGGCCCGGGTCCAGGGGGCGGCCAGGGGACGCATTGAAAACAGAAGAGGCGCCGTGAGATCTGGGGAAATATCATGGCCCCCGCTGTGATATTCACCCCCACCCCCCTGGTCGTCACCCCCCTCTTGGCCGCCCCCGATCTCTCTCTCTCCACGCCCTCACCGCCGCGCGCAGGGGTCGGGTGCCCGAGCGCGGTTCGGCTCAGGTTTAGGGTGCGGGTCAGGATGCGGGTCATGGTTACCCGCCAGTCGGAAGAAGTACGTGGAAACATGAAGTGGGAAGGCAGGTAAAGTAGATTGCGTTCGGGCCCGCCCGAAGAATGGCAGAACACAACAAAAACAGGTCGGCCCTGGGAGCAGGAAGGCGCCTGAAGTAGACTGGGATCTGGGCATCCAGAAATCCTACTTGCGACGACCGGCGTGCAGGCCACCTCCTCCGCAGGCGCCCCAACCACGTTTCGGCCCCCGAGCCCCTCTCGGCCTCAGCCGGAAGGCCAGTGACGACACAGCTCCCGAGGCCCAGTTCTCGGTTTCCGAGCCCCCGTTACGGCCTCGTCCACTTGTTTTTGTTGCCTCGGCCCGTCTCGTCCCGGCCGGTTTCGCCCTGGCCCGTCTCGGCTCCAGCCGGATTCGGCTTCTCCAAGTTCGCGCTCGCACCCTGGCCGACGAGCCGAAACGGGCCGAGGCCGAAACCAGCCGAAGCCGAAACGGGCCGAGCCGGAGTGGGCCGAAGCCGAAACGGGCCGGAGCGGAAACGGGCCGAAAGCCGAAACGGGCCGAAAGCCCAAGCGCACCGAAGCCGAAACGGGCCCAAGCCGAGACGAGCCGAGACGAAACGGGCCGAAAGACGAAACGGGCCCTTTTTGTCGTAAGGCAGAGGAGCCCCGCGGCGCCTGGGCGTCGCACGCGTCGCAGGCCTCCGGGCACGCCAGCTCGACAAGGAGCCCGTCGGTGGGGTCCTGGCACAGCGCCGGGACCTCAGCGAGGGTTGCGCGCCCGAGGCGGCGCCCGCCTGAGCCGGCCTGGAAGATCTTTCCCAACCATCATGTGGTATTGGGTCCTCGCTTCGAAGAGACAGCGCCGCGAGTTCCTCCTCTCCTCTCCTCTCCTCTCGTCTCCTCCTCCCCTCCTCTCTCCTCTCTATCCTTGCCTCTGCCCTCCGCATTTCAACCATTTCGGCCATTTCGGCACACACACACACACCCCACGAGGATCGTGGCCCCATTGGAAGCTCCACCGAAGGACCCAGAAGCAAGGTTCGCATGGCGGCCTCGGGCGATTTCAGCACGCACACCCCTCACTAGGATCGTGGCCCCAAAGTGAGCTCCACCGAAGGCCCCAGCGGCAAGGTTCGCATGGCGGCCTCGGACCATCTTGGCACACCACTCACGAGAATCGTGGCCCCATAGGGAGCTCCACCAAAGGCCCCAGCGGCAGGGTTCGCATGGCGGCCTCGGGCGATTTCGGCACACCCCTCACGAGGATCGTGGTCCCGTAGGGAGCTCCACCGAAGGCCCAAGTGGCAAGGATCGCATGGCGGCCTCGGGAAATTTGGGCACACCACTCAAAAGGATCGTGGCCCCATAGAGAGCTCCACCCAAGGCCCCAGTGGCAGGGTTCGCATGGCGGCCTCGGTTAATTTTGGCACACACACACACACACACGCACACACACACACACACACACAAACACAAACACAAACACAAGCACAAACACAAACACAAACACAAAAACAAAAACACACACACACACACAAACACAAACACACACACACACACACACACACACACACACACACACTCTTCACGAGGATCGTGGCCCCATAGGGGAGCTCCACCGAAGGCCCCAGTGGCAAGGTTCGCATGGCGGTCTCGGGCGACTTTGGCACAACCCTCAAAAGGATCGTGGCCCCACAGGGAGCTCCACCGAAGGCCCCAGTGGCAGGGTTTGCATGGCGGCCTCGGGTCATCTCGACACACCCCTCAAAAGAAGCGTGGCCCCATAGGGAGCTCCACCGAAGGCCCCAGAGGCAAGGTTCGCATGGCGGCCTCGGGCGATTCTGGCACAACCCTCAAAAGGATCGTGGTCCCATAGGGAGCTCCACCGAAGGCCCCAATGGCAGGGTTCGCATGGCGGCCTCGGTTAATTTTGGCACACACACACACACACAC